GAATGGATAAGGAAGCTGTGGTACATATACACCATGGAATATTACTCAGCCATTAAAAAGAATTCATTTGAATCAGTTCTAATGAGATGGATGAAACTGGAGCCCATTATACAGAGTGAAGTAAGCCAGAAAGATAAACACCAATACAGTATACTTACACATATATATGGAATTGTAAAAGATGGTAACTAACCCTATATGCAAACAGAAAAAGAGACACAGACGTACAGAACAGACTTTTGGACTCTGTGGGAGAAGGCGAGGGTGGGATGTTCTGAGAGAATAGCATTGAAACAAGTATACTATCACGGGTGATAGTATACTATAGTATATATGTCTATATCTATACTATATAGATATACTATACTATAGTATAGATATCTATATATAGTATAGATATCTATACTATACTATAGTATAGATAGTATATCAAGGGTGATAGATCACCAGCCCAGGTTGGATGCATGAGACAAGTGCTCGGGGCTGGTTCACTGGGAACACCCAGAGGGATGGGATGGGGAGGAAGGTGGGAGGGGGGATCGGGATGGGGAATACATGTAAATCCATGGCTGATTCATGTCAATGTATGGCAAAACCACTACAATATTGTAGAGTAATTAGCCTCCAACTAATAAAATGAAAAAAAAAAAAATTACCTGAGGGAGAAGGGTAGTGTTACCTGAAAACTGGTTCACAGTAGGTGTTGAGACAATAGATCAACCAAGCCAAAGATTGGGAGAAGGAAGGATTTATTATTACTTACAGCAAGTAAGAACACCAGGGATCTTTCCCAAAGCAGTGTCTCTCTGAACAGCAAAATTGGGAAAGTGTTAAGCTAAGAGTATGTACATATTCATGATGGGGCTTGAGCAGAAAAGAAGTCAGCATAGAACTGAGGCAAACATCCAGGAGTCCAAGCTTTAGTTCATTCAAGTCAGGAAGATGAACAACATCATTCCACCCTCCACTTGGGACAGGCTGGCCATAGCGCCTGCAGAACTCAAAGGTATATTATTATGTCTATCCCTTGATAAGGAACTAAGACTCTGCTTTATCACTGCACTATTGTTTGACTGCCTTTCCTCTGTTTCTGCATTCCTTTGTTCCCTTAAGATCATTGATTACTGAGACCTGTCCAAGGGTAAGCATTGTGGCCAGTCTTAGATCACAAAATGACTTAGTTCAAAATGGCTTCTTTCATGTCAAGAAAGCCATGCCTGGTTCTTTTTCTCTGGGGACCTCCCCCAACCTACCTGCTTATAGGAGGAACTAGAAGTGAAGCTGCTCTTCAGTGGTGTGAATGATTTAATGTCTTTTTAATTTTTTTTTTTTTTTGCTTTTTTTAAAATATTCTTTTTTCTTTTTTAAATTCCTTATTTACTTATTTTTTGGCCTTGCTGTGTGACTTGCAGGATCTTAGCTCCCCAACAAGGAATTGAACACATGCCCTTGGCAGTGAAAGCAGGGAGTCCTAACCACTAGATCATCAGAGAATTCCCTGACTTAATGTCTTAAAGTAAGAATGAATTCATGTATTACTTATAATAAAAAGAGAAAACAATATTATTTTTAAGACAACAGCTTATCTTTTTTCAGGGAGGAAGAAAATTTCTTCTACACTTTAAGGTTCTTCTGGTTGGTCTAAAAATTAAATTGACATGAGACACATTAACAGTAGAAAATAAAACAAAATTTTAATAAGATGAGAGAGACCCAGGAAAACTGAGTAACTTGCCAAAATGGCTAAAGCCTTTACCTGGAGTACCATCCTTGCTAAAGAAAAAAGAGGATGTTGAAGATGGGAGCGTCAGGCATGGGCAGGGGGTTACCAGCAGAAGCACAGTAAATAAGGGTTAAGGTTCTAAAAAAAAAGGGGGGGGGGGTTAAGGTTCTTACACAGAATCAAGTCTTTGCCTCCTCCATTCATGAGAGTGTTTAGAGATTTTTGTCATCCTCCTCTTCTTGGTACATCCAGGGAGACACCCTTACAACTGGGTATTTCTCTTACAGAAATTATGTAAATATCTCTTACAAAAGGTTAAGTCCTACTTGATTTTCACATTTTTTCCCATATCTGCTGTTTCTTAGAAAATAACCAACTTAAAATATTTTAAAGAGACATATTTTGGGGCACCAAATTCTGTTCCACTACAGTCCTGCCTTTGAAACTTTTCCAGGAAGTTTCACGGTTTAGAAGCTAAGTTGATACATTACTCCATACCTTTTTTGAAGTAGTTACTCAGTCCTAAGAATAGGTCAATTCAGCTAAACAGTTGTGTCTCATCTCAGGAAGTGGTGATGTTGCCGGACTCTTAAAATTAGTCCTATGTTGTGCAAGAAGTCAGGTATTTACTAAGGCATTTCTATGGCGACAAAAGAAAAACAAATGTTAGTAGCTGGAGCAATTATAAACTCAGGGTCTGAGTCCTGAGAGCTGCCAGCTTTGCAGGTTGCAATGTCTCTGATGATATCATTGATGTGCAGGTGGACTTTCTAGCAACAGACAGAACGATCATCTAAACATGACCTATTGTTACCAAAACACAAGTTTGTGTACCCAAGGCACAGTGAGGTCAAACAGTATCAAAACATTGTAGTTTGGAACAGAGAAAGATTTATTGCAGGACTATGGAAGGAGATGGCCCAAACTCCTGAAAGCCTTCAACAAAGCCCTTTCCTAGGAAAGGTGAGGGAGGGGTGTGGTTGGCTGTTGTAAACTTCTTGGTGTCAGACCCTTTGTTCTTGAGGTCACTTCATGGTCAGGTAACGCAGTGCCTATAAATCGCCACCAAACAAATCTTCTCTGTTCTGACAAGGAAGGGCAAGCTCCCAAGGCTCAACCCTCACTCTCCAAGGTCCATCCTGGCTAAGAGGAAACGGATCTCAGTTGGTGGCTCCCTTAGGGACAGGTCCCCAGACCTTGTCCAGCGGTCATCACGGAGGAAGTCGGGCGCCCAGGACCCAGCTGGCCCTTTGGCTCCTCAGGCCACTCAAACATGGGTGGGAGGAAGGTTCCATATACTGTCTCCCAGGCAGAGGCCGCTGCTGCCATTAGGTCACAGAGGTGGGGAGAGTGGAGAGGTTCACCGCCACCTCAAGGCCTAGACCTCACCAGCCGGGGGGCCCTGATGAGGGCTCTGGAACCCTGCAGGCACAGCCTCCAGCCTGCTGACCTGAGGCCCCCCCGTATCACCTGCTGACCTGAGGCCCAGGATCTGCCTCTTACCTCACTCTCCACCTGACGGCCACAACTTTTTCAATCCGTGGGTGAATCCCCCACGAACAGTTGCTCACTGACCGTTGGTCACTCATGGGAGGGGCCCACTGCAGTGCTAACCAATGGCAGAGCAGGACCACTAACAGTCACTCAGTGACAGTTGGTCACTTGGGGGAGGAGCCCACTGCAGTGCCAACCAATAGCTGAGCAGGACCACTAACGGTCCACACAGTAACTGTTGCCTGGTAAGGGGGGCTGGTGTGTGAACGTAATAGTGCGTAGCAACAGTCCCATGCTAAGGGCTGTGATCAACCAGTCTCTGTTACATTGTGGTGATCTCTCTTAAATGTATATCAGCTATTCAGCTTCAGTTTGCAGGGCTTCAAAAAAGGGACCGCTTTAGTTCTCAAAGATTCCAAGTCAACAGTGGGAGAAAAATTGGAAATATTAGTTTGAAGAGTTACAGCCAAATATTTCAATAGAAAAATTCAGGTTCCAGTCAAGTTTATAGGTAGGTAAACAAAACCCCGAAAAATTGATGCTTTTAAACTGTGGTGTTGGAGAAGACTCGAGAGTCCCTTGGACTGCAAGGAGATCCAACCAGTCCATCCTAAAGGAGATCAGTCCTGGGTGTTCATCGGAAGGACTGATGCTAAAACTGAAACTCCAATACTTTGGCCACCTCACGCGAAGAGTTGACTCATTGGAAAAGACCCTGATGCTGGGAAGGATTGGGGGCAGGAGAAGAAGGGGATGACAGAGAATGAGATGGCTGAATGGCATCACTGACTTGATGAACTTAAACTCCAGGAGTTGGTGATGGACAGGGAGGCCTGGCGTGCTGCGATTCATGGGGTCGCAAAGAGTCAGACACGACTGAGCAACTGAACTGAACTGAACTGAAACAAAACCCCAAAAACAATATCATTACAATCTAAAATCCAAGGCTGAGTGCTANCTCTGGGAGTTGGTGATGGACAGGGAGGCCTGGCCTGCTGCAGCCCATGGGGTCGCAGAGTTGGACATGACTGAGCGACTGAACTGAACTGACATCTTTGAGCTCTTCACAGAACTAAAACCCAATAAATGAAAGATGTCCACATTCTCCACCCCAGAGAAGATCTCTTGAGGCCAGATTAAAGAAGCCAGAGAAGCTCATCAAGAGATTACCTGGAACCACATTAGAGAAGCACAGGCCCTACTCTTATCAGCAACCCTAGCTGTCCTTGAGCCATTGCTGTAAAACTCCTCACCAAACCCTCACAGGTTCAGTCAGTTCAGTTCAGCGGCTCAGTTTTGTCTGACTCTTTGCAACCCCATGGACTGCGGCATGCCAGGCTTCCCTGTCCATCACCAACGCCTGGAGCTTGCTCCTCAACCTCGCAGGCTGGAACACAGTTTTGTGAGACAGGAGCCCACTGTGTCTCCCTTTGCCTGGCAGAGCAATAAAGCTATTGTTTTCTACCTCACCTAGAACTCCTGCCTCTGAGATAGGATTCGGCACCTGCACACAGAGGCGGATCTCTCAGCATCACCCTGATGACAGGTTCTGCACAATCCCTCAGGCTGTCACTTTCCGTCAAGAAGCCTCTCCAAGCAGGAAAGGCCGCTTAGTGTGCAGACGGTCTCTGGGCACGGCCAGTCACCCCAGGAGACCTGTATGGTGCCCCAACCCCCCACATTCGCTGTAGATGGAGTAAGAGACTGTCCCAGGAGCAGAGGGCTCCCTTGTCTACAAGACAGGTGAGTCACGAGGAGAGGATGGACAAGGTCCTCCAGAGGTTTTCTTGGTGAAAGTCAGAGAACTTCATCAGTTAATCAACTAGAAGCAAGATTAGGACATTCTCTGGAGACCTTCTAGTTTTGTTTGCTAGCAGCTGCACGGACATCCTAATTCCAGCTGAGTGGCTTGAAACCCAGGTGCAAGGGCTTCTGATATTCCCAGTTAATTCTCAGAAGCATGTTTATGGTCATCTATGCCAGTCATTTGTTTCAGTGACTAGGACAAGTTTCCTAAGAAAGTTTGGAGGCAGCTAGCCTCCCCCGTTAGTTTTCTTTTAAAAATTTATTTTTAATTGGAGGATAATTGCTTGACAATGTTGTGTTGGTTTCTGCCACTCATCAACATGAATCAGCCATAGGTATACACATGTCCCCTTCCTCTTGAATTTTCCTCCCACCGCCCACCCCACTAGGTTGTCACAGAGCACCAAGCTGAGGTCCCTGTGCTTACAGCAACTTCCCATTAGCCATCGATTTTACACATGTGGTTTAGTAGCTAAGTCATGTCCGATTCTTCCAACACATTTTACACGCGGTAGTGTATATTTCAATAAACACATTCTGACTTTTTCTGCCACAGGCGGGTCCCATATCCCACAACACCTGTGACTTGACACATTATGTGAAAATCAAGCCTCTGTTTTAATTGCACCAAATGTTTCAAGAGATCGTGTAGCCTCAGAATGTCAGAGACTGCCTGGGGTCGCTGACTCAGGACTTTGGCCGGGGGCAGAGGGCACCTGAGTCACAGTGGGTGGGGGAGTTGGCTGCCCAGAGGGTGTGATGAACTGGAGCCTGACTGAGTCTACCTTCAACATTCCACAGAGGGTCAAGCTGGTGTTTAGAAGCACAAATGGCCTTGGTCTCCTCTCCATTTGGATCAGGCCTTCAACTAGCTGCCCCCAGGAGGATAGAGGCAGAGGGCCCAGCTCCCTGCAAGGCAAGGTGTGCCAATATGCAGGCAGGAGACTGTGTCCCAGCTCAGCAGGCTGAAAACCAGACCTGGCCGATTTAAGTTCTCTGGGCCTGTTCACCTCCCTGGAGACAGGTCTCAGGGGAGAGAAAACTTTGCCCTCTGCCCCCTGGCCCCAGTGATCTGAACTGGTTTCATCTTTCCCATGAACCCAGCATATCTTGCAATCAAGCACCCCTTAAATTCTCTTCCCTAAGTTATTTTACTAGGCTTTGCTAATGGGGACAAAACCGTCTCTTATATTCCTCTACTACTGAGAAGCCTAATCACCATCCCACAGAGAGAAGGCCATAGACCTCTCGGTTCCCACCCCTCCTTTGCCAACTTCTCCTCCAAACGCACCACTTCCCCCCTCCCCGACCCTGGTCTGTGCCAGTCCAATCAATGACACCACCCTTCAAAATCCAGGATTGGTTTCTTCTCCTTTTTTCACACCTTAAATCCAACAGCAAGATCTACTATCTTGACCTGCAAAATATATCATATTATCCAGCTACTACTTCTACAATTTCTATTTATACTTTATTTCAAGCTGTTGTCATTTCTCACTTCAACTATCAGGACATCCCTCCAACTAGTGTCATGCCATCTACTTTTGTCCCACCTGGAAAGGTGACTGTGTATACATCCCTCCCTTGCTCAAAGTCCTCCAGTGGCCTTCTGCAAACATTTATACAAAATCTCCACTACAGCCTAAAAGGCCCAGTGTGACTTGGCTCCTGGCTCCCTCCTGCCCCATTTCCTCACTCACTTCTCCAGTCACCCCAGTCTCCCTGGAGGTGCTGGGTCCTGCCCTGGGGTCTTGGCACTTGTTGTCCGCATGTCTAGAACACTCAGAGCCGGGGAGAACAGTCCAGGCTTCCTTGTGCCCATGAGTAGGGCACATAGTGAGGAGAGGTCAGTGGGCACAAGGGACTGTATTAGCAGAGAGACGGGGATCAGATAAGAACAAGGTGTCTACCCGGCCAGTGCTGGCTTGGAGACAAGCTGATGACTGGGACTTGAGATGTAGTACATCACCCACAAGGGCCATCGGGAAACCGGCAGCGACATGCATGCTCAGTCGTGTACAACTCTTTGTGACCCCAAGATCTGTAGCCCGCTAGGCTCCTCTGTCCATGGGATTTCCCAGGCAAGAATACTGGAGTGGGTTGCCATGTCTTTCTTTCTCCAGGGGATCTTCCTGACCCAGGGATCAAACTTGTGTCTCCTGCACTTCTGAGCTACTGGGGAAGCCCATAGAAAATGGGAGGTGCTGGAAACACTCCTGGAATTTAGACTCTGCCTCGGGGAGACATGACCCTGAATCAGAAAGTGACTGGATTGCATTTTCTGCTCCCAGGTAGCATGGAGAGCTCTTAATGGCAGAAAAAGTCTGGTTGTACATCTTGCCCCCCTGAGTCAGCGGCCATCGCACATTCACACCTGCTACACCAATGTTGATGTTTCTGGAACAAAGTGCAGTGGCTGCTAACCTCACCAAACAGCGGCCCCTGGCTGCCCAGGATGGTTCTCTCTCACCCCGAAGTCACATCATGACCAGGAGAGTCCTTGTTCCTACCCTCAGCCCCTGTCCAGAGTTTGGTCAGGGCTTTTCTGATGATGATCATCCCCTCCTGGGTAACGGCAGGTGGGGCAGGACCTATGTTTTGCTGGCTTCAGGAGAGCCCTCCACAGCGACCACGTCCCACGGTCTCTGCGGTGGGCTCGAGTCCACACCAAATCATCAACATGAAGCCTCCATTACTGAAGGCGCACTTAGCAGAAGCTCTATCCCAGTGACACCAGAGAAATACGACAGCATCCTGTCCCTGCCTGCGGTGGCGTGTAAGTCCTTCCCGGGTTGGAGAACATTCGTCACATTCTAGCCAGTAATTCCATGACTGTGCTGTTTGCCTCTACGCTTGTCAAGGTCTTAGTCCTTCCCCTTGTTAATTTTGGAGGAACCAGCTCTTCTGTGTGTGACTCTCACATCCCTCCAAACCTCAGCCCCAGTGATGGGTCTCAACTTCCCTGAAGGGTTTCTTTGTTCTGCCCCAGAAGGAAAGTGAGTCTGAAGGTTGAAATTCCTGTGCCATTCCGGGACAGGTATGGTTTCTAGGAGGTATTCAGGCAGCATTTGAAATAGGTGTCATAATAAAAATTGAAGGATAAGATTTGAATAAAACAAAACCAGAATTACTCATAGCTCATCTAGCCAGAGAAGGTTCTAAAGTTATTGCCACATACTTATTTTTCAACAGCATGTTGATGAAGAGGGAAATGAGCCAACTCAGGGTTATAATTGGATCTCAAGCAGCATGCCTGAGCTTTGTAGCCAGGATCAGGAGGCCTTGAGAACCGAGGTACCTGCTGCTATCTGATGCCAGACACCTGGTAGCAGGCGATTTAGCA